CCCCAAAACCCCAAAACCCCAAAACCCCTTTAGGAGAATTATAAGAGAAGGTTTTTAGTTTATCTAGAGCAATTAGTTGTGCATTATTAATTCAAAATATTAGAATAAAATGGATTCATTCTCAAAGAATAAAGAATAAGAACTTCTTAGTAAATTGCCTGTCTTACAAGTTGTTATTCAAAAAGATAATAGTTCACCTGAAAAATAGACTTATGAAATGGAAGAGCAAGGTTTGCCTGAAGACTCAAATGAAGCAAAAGCTATGATAGGGAAACCTATGGAGGAAATTAGGTTAAGAAAATTGATGAAAGAAAAACTTTAAACAACAAGCATACCCTCACTAGAGTTTGAGGATGCTGAAGGAAATACTATTAAATTTGAAGAAATATATGATTATCATAAATTTCTTGGTTGTGGTAGTTTTGGATTTGTTGTTTCAGCAGTTGATAAACTAACTGGAGAGCATGTAGCCTTAAAGGTAATAGCATTTATTTGGGTAATATACTTTAAAATTATAGATCGTTGACACTTCAAGTGAGAGTTCAGTTCAATGCATTCGTAAAGAAGCCTAAATTCTCTCATAAATTCCTCTGAATCCGAACATTATCTCTTTTAGATAGGTACTCCCTTAAGTAATTTTAAATTTAGATAAAAGAATTTGAAAACTATATTGTTCTTTAAATTGAAAATGCAAAAGGAGGGACCATTGCAGAACTGATTAAAAAGAGACATCATCCTGCGTAATCAAATGAAACAATTGATAAGAACATAATGAAACAGCAGCAAAAAGGTTTAAGTGAAGATGAATGTGCCAAAGTTATTAGAGGTATTTTACTGGGCTTGAAGCACATTCATGCCTTAGATTTTGTTCACAGAGACTTAAAGCCGAGTAATGTTGTGATTGACGACATTAATAATCTTGAGAGTGTTAAGTTGGTTGATTTCGGTTTAGCTATTAAATTCTAAAGTCGATAAGGACTTGATGATGCTTGCGGTACTTTAGTCTACTAAGCACCAGAGTAAATGTTTGGAGGAACTTCATATGGCAAACCAGTTGATATCTGGGCAGTTGGCTTTATAATGTTTGAGCTCATCTCTGGAAAGCATCCTTTATGGAGTAGGAAAGAGGATAAAATCTAATACAAGGAAAAACTGAGGAACTTAAAAAAACTTGATTTTTCCTATCATAAGTTTTCTGCGTAAACATAATCGTTTTTATCATTTAATTTTATAGACTTTCCATTAACTTGATAGAAAAGTTGTGCCAAATCAAACCATCATCAAGATATAAAGCTGATTAAGCTTTAAATCATCCTTGGATTACTCGGAATTTCTCTGACAAGATACCAAGAACAGTATACGAGGAAAACATTTATAGATATGAGATTGATGCTAAATTTAGAAGAGTAAATTTTTTAAGCGAGACTTATTATTAGTATAGTGCACTAACCTTATTCTATTCCTGTCAATAGCAAAGAATCATAAATAGATCATGATGGTTAAGGAATAAAAATTGAGACAACAACAAGAAGATGAGTATTAAGAATAATAAAGACAGCTTGAATAGATACATAATGAATACTAGATTTAACAGTAAAGAATAAGCATAAATGTAGATCAATTAGATGAAACAGTGCCAATAAAGACTGAGGATTTAGTTCCACATGAAACTCCTGATTTTGCCAATTTCAAGGAATCTAGTATTAAGATGAGCTAGTTCATAAAATTTGATAATTTGGGCTATGACGATGAGGAAGATGAAAGATTTCTTGAACATTTGAAGAGTTAAATTAAATAGAAATAACAGCAAAGGTAAGAAAGTTACTAGCCTTCAACGGATGACAAGGAAAATCCCTCTTATTATCAAAACAGAAGTGTTGACATTTAGCTACAAAATAATTCGGCAAATAACTTCTAAGATCTAACGAATCAGAACAGTCAAAGCATGATTGAGAGCGAAAATGGTAAAAGTTCTAAGTCAAGTTAAAGTTATTACAGCAATAATGAGCAAAAGAAAATGACAATTACAAATAGCAAAGATGAAAAAGAAAAGAATGAAAGCAACCCCTAATTTAAATAGCAAGTAAGTGTAAAAAACTCAGTTGCAACAAGCGATAGGTTACTAATTGGTAAACCTCCACTAGGAATGAGAGATTCATCAGTTAATGGTAGAGACCAAGGAGGAAACAGTGCATCGAGTGGGCCAAGGACTTAAAAAAGTTTTAGGATTCACAGAACAGGGAAAAGGACAACTAATAATATGAATTTAAACAGTCATAATGCGAATGAGAACAGCTCTAAATCTATTCAGTCAAGAAAATTTAGCCCAAATAAGATTGGACTTGAACATTATGACATGGAAAACGGAAGAAATTAGTCTAAAGAGAGAATTGATGAAACAAATGCCTCTTCTAAAATGCAGACTAAAATGTCTCGTCGAAACAGCTCATTATCTGAGAAAAGGCTGAATTTCAATAATGCCAATAGCAACAATCAAAGTGAGGATGATTCTCATGAGGATTACATTGTTACTCCATCACATAATTTGAATGAACAGACCAATCCTTCAGCTTAGTAAATTCCATCGTCAAGTGATTTCTCATCAGCACTCTCTCAGAATCAGAAGATGAGGAAAAAGGAGTCATCAAATACTCATAAAAAGAAATCAAAATTAAGAACTTAGGTGAAGAGACAGAGATCTGCAATCTAATAAACTATAACTAATCATAAAAATTACTTGAATGAGGCTTCTGCTAAAATTAAATTGCCGCCTCAAATCTAATTGCCTTCCTAGAATATACTGCAAAACTAAAAAATTCAGCCAAGTTCTGAGCAGAAGATGCATCGAAAGGAAAACTCTCAACTATAAATGATATAGTAGCCTAAAGCAGCTCTAGGAAATACAGATTAATCAGTTGCATAAAACAGCTAAATGATTAAATAAAGGTAAAACTCAACTGCTAGAAATACTGCTCTTCCAACACGTAAAGCACTAGTAAGTGAGACCTTTGACATAATTAAGCATGGACCTGCTTTGAAGGAAAAAACTCCTGAGGTTAGTCCAACTAGGATGAATAACAACACGAGTTATCAGGAAAATTAGCCTTATCATTTAAAACCACTTAATACATTTGCAAATCTAATGCCTTGCTCTCCTCATGAAGAGCCCACAGAAGATGAATAGTTTTTCCATACTGGAAACAGTTACCAATAATATGGGATCTTAAGTGGAGGAGTCTCCAGCATTAACGGAGGACGTCGAAACGTTTCTTAAGCAAACCCTTTATCTCCTTTTGAGTAATTCTTGTAAAACCTAATGAAACAAAATGAAATTGAAAAGACTCCTCAGTATTAAGTCCAAAGACAAGTATAAAACCCTCTAATGTATGTCTAGCAGCCTTTAGACATGCAGCATAGGCAAAGGTAAATGGATAACATTATCAAGAAAAACACCTTGACAGCTCAATAATATCCACAACTTAACAGATATAATGATAAGCGAGTTGATGATTACTACGGAAGCACCTCTAATAATTTGACAGGACTTCCTCCTAGTGCCCTATAAAAATAGAGAACGGTGAATAAAGAGAGTTCTATGAGTGAAAAATTCTAATAATATAATAACAATATTCTAGGTGGCTACACTTTGGCTACTAGCAACAGTCAAGTAGGAGGTGGAGCAGCAGTAGGTTAAAATAACACCATCATGGATCAAATAGATAATCAGCGAATATTTAGAAACACCTCAGCTGTAATTAACACCTCTAAGAATTCAAGTACCTCCACAAGTAACAACCAAATGAAGAAATAAGTGTCAAACTACTAATAGCAACAGTAATCAAGATGAATGAATAATTGTTAAAAACATATTTCTTACAATGTTTGTAACTCCATAGAGAGAAAACAATTTATTGATAACAGATTTGCTTTTCTTGCTAATAATGATGATCTCCTTTGAATTATAATTTATTAATGCAATATTATGCTCAATTATATCATCTCGGGGTTTTGGGGTTTTGGGGTTTTGGGGTTTTGGGG